TATTTTATTCTTTCTAATTTCTAAATTAACTCTTCAAACTTTTAACATATTCTATTAATTCATAGGAATAACGTTTCAAGCCACTTGACTAATCTTCATGTTTCCACAGTACAATTAAATTCCACGAAGCAGTTTTCCTCTTATTAAAAAAAGAAAAAAGACAACTGAGGTGACAAGAATTTATTTTATTTTTGGACCCTCCATTGGCTTTAGCACCTATGACGTGGTTGAAAAAGGATCACAGAGATCTCTTGGAATCCTGCTTTTTCCTTTATAATTGGAGGGACAAGATTTGGGGGTCGCTGCTTGATAATAAATACTTTGTATAGATATAACTGCGTTTTTTATTTACTTATCTTTAAGTTATATTTTTTTTTATTTCATTATTTGATAAATTATTTACTGTTTTGTTTGTAAATTATTCTATAAGAAAAGACCTCTGCAGTATTAGTGCTTAGTTTGATTAATCCACAGCAAAACTCAAGCAAGACTTCAAACTTTTAGAGCTAAGTTTCTGATTACTTAGGTGCTTAACAACTCCCAGTGCTTAATGACCCCTCACGAGAACTGGAAGTGATGATTGTTCTCGAGGCACTAATTTACACTAAGCCCTAATTTACAGTAAGCAATAATTTACTAAAGGACTTTCACGGCTTAAGATTCACACTTAACAATTATCCCCCACTTTAGATAGACTTCGCACATTTAGCATTGATACTGAAGAAAGAGAGACAGAGATATCATAATGGGAATGATAATATCACCGTTATCCTGATAACAATCACAGATCTGCTCAGGAACTTTCAGAGTCAACAACCTCGATCTCTATTAGAGGAGGAACTGCTCATGAATTAACACGTTACACGGTCACCGGTTACAGGAACTGTTAATAGTCAACACTACTATTAAATGATTCATGATCAGGGCTATGACTTTTAAGCAGTAAAAAACCCACAAAATATGCAATAAAATGTCTAATATATTCAATTAGACTTATAGCCGCATGCTTTCCATTTGGTTTGAAAAAAATTAACATAATTATTGTGAAACGAAAAAATATAATATTGTATATTTCAAAATAAATTTATATATATTCAGACAGTTGTAGAATTTTTTATGCGAATATCTGAACAAAACAATTTGATTTATTACAATTTATATATATCAAACATCGAAGAAAGGAGCCTTCATAGCATAGGTACATTTCTAGAACTTTTTCAACTAAAAATGGATAATGTTAAAAACTGAAAAATACTTTTAACTTCATCACAACGGACTTATCAACGACATGCACATCAGAAGACGACTAAAGAGGAGCTGGGTGAGAGATCTCCTTTCCTAAATTATGAAGTAGACCATGACCAGGAAGAGGTACTGCTGGGTACTAATATTTCTCATGCCTTAAATGCCAATTTTCTTTACAATGAGATCAAATCTGCTTATTTTCAATACTATGATAGGTGTGGATAGAAGCATGAAGAGAGGGAAAAAATTTTTTTTCTTAGTTTGTGCAACCTCCAAAAAAAATAAAACGTTTTCACAGTCTTGACTATTTGTGGTACAGAAACTTTTTTTTTTCGAATTATTAACATCAGCATGAAACTTCGTTAATATCTTCATCTCATCGTAACATACAACTATTTTATTTACGAAAATTCTCCGAACTGGGGCCTTTTCAATCTGGAGATCGGCAAACTTTGTCTATTTAATTAGGTACTAAAAACTCGTATATACACATTTGCTTTCCACTTGGATTTTAAGATAATTTGATCATAAAATCGAGAAAAAATGTGTCCTACAAAAATATTGGGGCATATCTCTGTACAGCGGTGTACTTAGAATGTTATTATCTTGAACAGTTCCTTCTTATTTAATAAAAAATATGACCACACAAAAATTAGTCGTAACTCCTATTCCGTTCGGAATCAGCTAATGCATCAAATAAATAGTTTTGTTGGAAATTTTGTCTAGAATTACCCTCCAGAGCATGGACAGTATGGAGTATGGATACGCTGTATTTCAATGCATCATCCAAATGATGTTTAAAAAAAAAAATGTTTTTGATAATGGTTCCTTTCTACACATTATTTTATATTGTACTTTATTAATAATAATAAAAACTCTTAGCGAACCCGAAGGTTCGATGCCAACAACACCAATCGCTTATTACACACCTCCCTCCACCGTTCGCCGTCCAAACCCAGTCCCTTCAGATCAGCTTTAATGCAATCTTCCCATCTTCGCTTCGGTCTACCCCTCGGACGCTTACCATTCGGCACAGCAAATATTAACCTTTTAATTGTACTTTATTACGATATGTAATTACGGTTTACATGTAAAATCTTCTTGTTGTAATTTCAGTCTTTAGCCCGATAGTACACTTTGATTTCACGAATATATGTCATTAACCCTTAGAGAAGATTCAATTTCTCGAAATGAATACATACAAAACCAGACTCTGGCATGTTGGCATTCGCAATTGCAGGGTACTCTCTCCGACAATGCCGTCATTGACCACGAAACCACGAGACCAAGAAGTAGGTACCCGACAAAGAACCACGGAACCCAGGTACAGGTACCGAAGCGGACCAAGAGATCCGATTCTGACGCGACAAACCGTTCTAGGAACTGGTCCCGATGGAATGCACGACCTTAACGCCAAGGCTGTTGGGTTCGCCAGGCAACAGTGTTCGATGTCTTGTGCAACTTGCGGTCCTTCGATACATCGATATCTAATCTAATAATCGATTATCGTTGTATACTTATAAAAAAATGTATTCATTATAGTTAAAATAAACGTATAATAAATTTAATTATTATTATAAAAAATAAAGAGATGGGTAATCAACTGATCAATTATTAGGATAAAACAAAATTGTCAGGATTTACAGTAAAGAATTTCGATTAGATTACAGGGGACTCTGAGTCATGTTTTGTCACCCAAATGTGGAAGACAAAGCAGGACTCCAGGAGATCCCAGTGCTTCTCTCCCACACACGTGGTAGACACAAAATTAGTGTTCCTTTTCCGTTCGCTATTGGCCCATGCATAAAATGAACTTTTTTTTTTGGAAATATTTAAAATCACTACCCCCAGATTTTGGCTACCAAGACGTGAGACATCTTGTATACAGCTAAAGGTCCAATATTCCTTTCTATTATGTGATCAAATTATCGTACGAATCTATTGGAAAGCTAATGGATGTTCGGTCTTTAAAAGAAAAGATACGGCATCAAGATTGAGAAATTATAATAGCAACAATTAAATAGTTCTATGATGGTTCTAAAAAATATCATTATTTTGACATTGACAATAGAGAAAACGAAAACATATTTTAGGTACTTTTAGTAGAAATAGTTGAAAAAAAAAATAAAATAAAGGATGAAAATAAATGCATTAATAAAGAACCAATAACAGTATTAACATTTATCATTTTCATAAAGTGGAGAAAAAGTCAATTTTTGTTTTATAGCTTCAATTTAAACTGTTTCTGATGATTTTTTTAAAGAATGTACGAGTTGAATCATGAGAAAAACAATCATTAGAACTGGTTTAAATTGAAGATATTTGACAGAGAATTGGGTTTTTCTTAAATTTTTAAAAATAAAAAAAATGTCCGTCTTTGATATTAGGGATCATTTGTTCTCATATTGTGTTTTAAATATAATATCACATTGATTTGCTCACTTGTGAAGCGGTTTTCTTATAGGCCGTGTTTAATTTTATTTTTTTCATAATTTATATCTTTCGATAGTAAAATTTTAATAGGGAAATTAAAGCAATCGAAAAAAATATTTATATTTTGATATATCAATTTTTTTTCAATATCTCCAGTTTGTTTAAGAACTTTAAAGAATTGTAATAAGCTGATAATTTCATAAATTTTCAAGTTAAACATTCTTCTTTCTTCAATTAAATTACAATTGTTTTTATATTATTGTTAGATTTTTTTCTTTTCTTTTTCTAAAACAATTTGACTATCATGAATAAACATATTGATCGTTTTTCCGATGGTATGACGATTTTCGACATATTACTATCGAACTAAAGCCAACCTAATCGACTGAAATGGATTTTATGTTTATTTAAAATACGAGATGGTTGTATTAAATATGATCTTAGAAATTTATGTTAAGACGTGGTTCATTATGGGATAGTATCGTATTTTTCGGATGAAGTTAATCGAGGGTGCGATCAATATATAAAATATTATAAAGTTAATAAAGTTGTAAATAAAACAATTTTATTTACATTCTAAACTTACAAGTTACATTCAGTTTGTTGTTTTTTATCAGATTGATAAAAACAGTACACAGATAATAATATAGAATAGTCAATTATATATAAAATAAATTGTATTACCAACTATACTGTAATGTAATTTAACATCACTTATCTTATCTTATGGGTTCGACAATTACTTTCTCTAGTAAGCTGTACAGTTTTAATATAAAAAAAAAAATTATATATCATTTATTGTACCTTGTACCAATTAACATATATCGCTTGTATATTTTTAGCCCTAAATAAGACGTATAACGTAGGCCGAAACGTTGGAAGAGTCAATAAAAAGTACTGTTATATAATACAGTATTTTATATATTGACAGCAAACCCGACTAACTTCTGAAATTAGAATCTATGGTCAACTATCTCCAAACCATTATGAAGTATCGTACCTAGTGTTGCCCAAATACGAGACCGATACGAGTCTTGGACATGGTCTTGGTCTTGCGCAAGAGTCTCGCAACAGTCTTGCAGTTACTTATTAGCTTATTACTAATTAGCTTATGAATATACACCTCTCCTGGAAACAAAGAAGAAAGTAAAACGGGGTGATAAGGGCAAAGATAAGATTTTTTTTCTGCAGATGATCGATCCGAAATAATATAAATATTTTAAAAGCTACCAAAGAGATGGTTAACTGTGAAAGTGCTAGGTGAAAACGAAAGCTTGAAATTTCGAGACAACTATCTTCCCAACTCAAATAGGAAGAAGCAATCACGGAATCGTGGGATATTGCCTGGGATATTCATCGACACGTACTCCTCCAGGTCCCTCTACTTCGGGGAAGAAGAAAGACCGCCCTGAGTAAGCCCTCGGGTGTTCACTTTCCCTCCGAGCACCTGCGAAAATGACCGCCAGGTAGATCCTTTCGATAGCTTCCATTAGCGGGGAGGAAAGGCGTTTTCCACCAAGATCGGGAAACCGGTCTCCAATGATTACCCCCTTAAGATGGAAGTCAGCCTCTTATTTCGAAAGGCTAATGATATGAAGATTAGAAAATAAATATATAAATATAGACATATTGCTTACAGTTACGGTGTAACCCCGTTTAACCGCCAGTAAAAGAGAAAAAATGAAGTTTTTTAATATCAGAATTTACAGTATTATTAGAACTAGATGATTGAAATTAAAGAAATTCTTTCATACAATATAGAACTTTGTTTTAACAACCAAAATTGACCTGTAAACTGAAACAGATAAACAGGTCGGAGAAAAATAAGTGTTATCACCCAACTTACAACATTACCTAATTATTTCATTTCTCAAATTATTTCAAATAGATTATTTGTTATTGTCCGCAGTGTTGCCCCAAATAAGGTCTTGGTCTTGCACTTTATAAGACCAAGACCAAGGACGCCTAACTGTTGCAAGACCAAGACCAGGACTGGTAAAAAAAATCGATTTTTTAAAATAAAAATTAAGGCCAAATAGTTACTAATACTTGACAATCTTAGTTACTATATGTTAATAATTGGTATAAACAATATACTGTTGCATTTAACTCCTCAAATTTTTCATTCGGGATTAGTTAGGTTTCTCCTATATAAAAAATTACAGTAATATCTCTATAGCAATAAGCTAATAAGTAACAGCGAGACTGTTGCGAGGGTCTTGCGTAAGACCAAGACCATGGCCAAGACTGAGTTTGCAAGACCAAGACTTGTCTCGGTCTCTCATTTGGGCAACACTAATTGTCCGAGTCAGGACGATCTCCCCCCCTTAATAAAAATGTTGAGAGGTGAGAATATCGTTTTGCACCTCCTCCCCCCCATTAATATGACCTAAAAAATTAAAATCGATAATAAATAAACTATATGAATGAATAAAATGTTTAAATTAAAATCGATTAAAAAAAAAATCGACTAGCTGGTTAGACTAGAATCACTAGTAGTAGGTTTGTAATTATTTTATCGATTCCTAAATTTTACTTTCTTTTAAATTGTTAATTATATTAAAGGATAATAATATATATCAAAAAATCCTAGAATTTTATGATTTCATCACCCTTCAATTTTCACGTTAAATTCTTACATATTTTCCACAACAAACTAATCGGACTATGAAAAAACGTTGTATTTTTATTTGAGTTTGTACACACTAAGAAACCAAAGATATTTTTTTAATTAATTTTTTTTTTAAACTTTAATCAGATGTACCAATGCTATAAACGCTCTTCCAACTCTCACCTGTATTTAATCTAAATAAATACGTTATATATTCAACTGGATATTTTAAAGATATATTCAAGTATATATAATAAGTAAAATAAAAATAATATATATCCTTACAACTATACAAACGTAATATGTTTATATCATTATTAATTATTAACTATTAATATTTATGTATTATGTTTATATTATAAAGAAATCAATTTTAAATATTCAATATTATTGTTTGTTCGTTTTATAATAATATGTTGAATTTTTACTCATAAGAAAAACTCACATTTATTTATTTATTTATTTTTGTTGAACTCCCTCGGAATAATATTCGAAAGCCCATGGACTTATACATATATTAAGCATGTATTTGAATGTATTTTACCGAACTTAGTTTTAAGCATATTGAATGATTTGTGATATGTAAGTAATACCTTTAAAAAAGTACATATATATTTTTCTATAACATGTTTTAAGAAAAAGATAAAAAAAAAAACAAAAAAAAACTAAGGTATGTGCTTTAACATGATATAAGTAAAAAGATCTACAAGGCGAGATTAATAATATGAAATATAAATTATAAATAATAGCTCATTACAAAGAGAATGAATTGTTCAAAATTTTCTGATTTTTAGTATCTGAAATATTTGGTTATCAACGTTATCATTCGGTTTTCAACACTAATTTTTATTTTTCACCTCCCTAACACGGAGTAGCGATAACATACAATTTTAAGTTATAATCTATTAAAAAGAGGACGAAATGCTGAATAATTTTCTCGCTTACAGTATTAAGGCCCGATTTATAGTTTCTCAGATATTTAAATCCATATGTAAAAATATTTTAATTAGTCCAATTAAAATTAGACTTTGCCCGAGCGTTAATACCGAACGAAATCTGACAGATTAATCTAATTCACTCTCCACAAACAAACGCAAAACGCCCCTAAATAAGTTTTCAATTAAAGTGCAAGAAAAAAGAAAATTAATATTCACATTTAATGAAACGGATTGTTGTTAATGCATAAATGAAATTAAATAATTATTTCATCTGAACCTACGAAAATTTGAAAAAAATTGTGAAATGGAATAACTAAGTACTCGATTAATTAACGTTGACAAGGTTAAGTCCTAAATTAATCCTAAGTTTTAAATATATATATATATATTTAAAAATATATATACATATTTAAAAAAAATATATATATATTTAAACTTAACTATTTAATTGGTTTAACTTTAAATTTAATAAAGAAGAGAAGAATAGTTGGGGTGGTCAGTCAAAAAAGAAGGCAAAAATAAATGATAATACAGTTTTACATTTTATTCTAAGATTCCCTTTACAATACTTATGTCACCTTTTTTGACTATGTTTACCTCATCATTCCACACTTTGTACCTGTTATTATTATTTGTCTCTTGTTCTTACTATTGTCATTATTCTAACAACTGCATTTTACTGTAATTTTTATATTTCTCATAACTTGTTATCTGGTTCTTTTCTTAGCCCTGATGATGGCCTGAACTTCAGGTCGAAACGTCGCCATATGTAAAAATAAATATTATCATTTATTTTTGCCTTCTTTTTTGACTGACCACCCCAACTATTCTTCTCTTCATTCTCCACGACAGTCAACCATTTACCAATTTTAAATTTAATACTCAAAGGTCGATTAAGGAAAAGTTGTAAATATATATATAAAACAAAAATTAACGTAAAAAATGATTTAAAAAAAAAATATATTTAGAGTTACTCATAATAACCCTGATACAGTTCCAGTTATTAAAAGGTTACCAGTAACCCGTTGGAACCGGTTCCGGACTGGTAAAGAGGTTACTGGAGTGGGGAGTGGGGGGAAAAGGAAATTGCCACTCTGTCGCCTAATTGCTAACTCCGGCCTTAACCAAACTGCGTCCCAACGTCTTCATTTCCCATTTCAGGCTGATTGCTAATTAATTTACTTCCCATCTCGGGTATATATATATATATATATATATATATATATATATATATATATATATATATATATATATATAAACACATAGTTTTTTAAATTTATTATGCACCTTAATTAATTTAATTATTTAGGTATTTATTCATTTTTACTTTAAAGGGAAACATTATCTTACATTAAACATTTACTTAACGTGTTATATAAGGTGATATGAGGATTCCTAAGATGCAATAAACGGCGTTGCATACGTAAAAATACTTTTCATATCTATGCCACAGAGGTAACAAAACCATGTCCATTTTTGTATATGTTTAGGGAAATGAATGTTCCATAACTTAAAGACATTAATTTTTTTTTCTTCGTTACAGAATTATTTATTGAAAAACAAACATGAAACTGCGGGGTAAAGATATAAGTATTTAGAAAATATTCGATTTAGCAGGCATTTAAATTGAAAAATAACTAAAGGTACAAAAAACATAATTTATAAGATTAAAAAATACAGACCTACATTTATTTTCAATAAGACAACAAATTCTTATTGAATATATTTGTTTTTAGAAAATGAGGTAATAATAAAATATGTCATAGTAATTATGCAATATTTTTTTTATTTAGCGATTTATCGATAAGCAAAGTCCATTTCTAACATCTCTAGAATAAGAAATGAAAAAAAGAAATTTAAATAACAATTCAAAATTAAAACTATTTTTTACTTCCTTCATAAACCAAAATAATTTAAAAAAATAATGTGACAAATATAAATTGAACATATAAATGTATATTTATTAATTTTTATTTTTTTATAATGAATGATGTTAACATAAATTTAATTTATTACATTTTTAATGTAGGTTTTAAGTGAAAACATGATACATTTTTTTTTAATTTAATATATATAACAGCTATTAAAAAAAAATAGTGCATCATTTATAATGTTTCATTATTAAAATTTGACTTTAAAGTGAACTGAGAATGTTCATAACGTTTATTAAAACGAATACAAAATATGAAGCCTTCGAAATAACAGTAAACACCAAATTTTAAAATATATTTTTTAGTTTTTATAGAGTTGTAAATAATTTAATATATAAAATATTATTATGTTAGTATTTATAATTATAATAATATCCGTAAGATTCATTAATCTCTCTATTATATAAAAATGTTTTTTAGTGGTGACCATGTAATATTTTATTTTACTTTTAATAAAGAAACCGTGGGCCGTAACGAAGACTAAACTATAGATTTTTAAAGTATCTATAAATTTGTCCGAACTGTCGTTTCGTTCTGTTTATTTTCTCTTAATAAAAAATAATACAATCTGAAATATAGAATACTTGTAAATTACAGTTATACAATTTGAGTAACGAGTGGTACAATTTAATGAACTGTTGTATAATTTGTAAAATGGGGGTTGAAAAGACAGGGGGTACTCCCTAGATTTAAAAAAAAAAATTTCTACTGAATGTAGTGTAGTATGTATAGTAAGACTGTTTCGGATATTGACACGCACTGATACATTGGACGAAATCTGCTTACCAGAAGCCATAGTGTGTAGCTGCAGGCATCCGACAGCTTCAATAAGTTTAAATATTGGTAAATGTAAATTTCCCCAACAGTTTACAAAAGATAGATAGACAGATAGATAGATAGATAAATAGATAGGTAGATAGATAGATGGAAAACAACTTTATTCTGGGACAAAGTCCCTTCAGAATAACAAAATTAAACAAAAACAAAAGACTACGTCTGGCATAAAAATTTGGAAAAATTAATAAAATTAAAAAAAAAATATGAAAACCTCGGAGGGAAGGGGTGCCACTGGGCACTCCTCTCTCTCAGGCCAATCAATGCTTCTACTAGTATTCTTTCCGACAGCAGACTCACAAATTGTCAGTACTTCTGACAGGTGTGGATGAAAAAATAAAGTTAAAAAAAAACTTTAATCTTAACAAAAAAATATTGTATCAAACTATTCAAGGATCTCATTGAATAATTTTGAGGCATCAAATTTAAAGAATTCCTACAAGATATTAAGCTAAGTATATCCATAATCATGTAAGATTATTTTTTTTAAAGTAAATATAAAATATATCACAAATAGATCTGTCAAAATGACAAAAGATTTTACATTTGACGGGTTGTTTTATCACGGGCAATACCAGAAGGTGTCGCTATCTGTAGTGTAGCTTCTCTTATCTGAGTTGGATGACACCCGGACGTCTTTATCTCTTTGTGTCCTCAAACCACTTTCTCAGGAGAGCACGGCAATGAGTCAAATCCGGATTTCGTCCATTGACAATGGTTTAGTCATTTCTGTGGGGAATTTCCAAGTCCAGCTCTCAGTTAGTTGGTAACATTGAGAATTAAGGGGAAATACATAGTCCCAGAAGATGGACAATCCATCGTACTTTTCGAATTATTAAATATATAATAATTGGAATCATATATAATATATCATACACATTACAGAGGAAGAAAATAAATAAAGATAACCCTTGAAACTAGTACCATATGACTAAACAGTATTCAATTTTGAGAGGCTAATTTTTTTTATTTATTATTATTTATATAGTACAATCAGCTGATTAATTACGATACAATATTTTAAAAATATTAGTGGTTAAATTTACTTCAAATCAAGTCTTAATAACCATCTGTAGCAGATTCAGAATATAATTTTTTGTTTAGAATAGAATAGAAAAAAAAACACTTTGTTTTGGGATTTTTTTTGGGGGGGGGGGATAAAGTCCCTTAAGAATGGCAAAAATGTGTACAAATTAATATAACATCTGGCCCAAAAGAGCTAAATATATAAAAAAAATAAATAAAAAAAATGCGAACTTGGTGTAATCCGGCTTTTGGTTATCAGAACAAGGAGTGGTTAATTAATTTTATTAAATTGATACATCTTTTCCTTTAGCAGAATTATTTCATTGACTTCTTTCCCACTAATTTATTAAGATTAAATACAAAGAATTTTTTTTTAATATATTAAAAAAACCATTAGATTTAGCAAAGGGACACAAAGACTTACATTCAGAGACCCTTTCCCATACGATATATATCATTATGTGTTTGTATATAATTATATATATATATATATATATATATATATATATAATATTTATTTTTTATATTAGATTATATTTTATATTTATATTATTATTATTTTTTTTTTCTATTTATTTTGACCGATTACCCCAAACATTCTCTTCTATTGTAATCTACATATGAACAGATTGAGAGGGAAAAAATACATATATGTGTATATATATATATATATATATATATATATATATATATATATATTATATATATATATATATATATATATATATATATATATATATATATATATATATATATATATATATTTACATACAATTACAAGAGGAATATAAATCTTCTCTGTAATTATTCACTACTATCAACCATCAACCCACAATTACGTAGATTACAATAGTTTTCTATCATTTTAAAATATTAATAACATTATTAAACTTCAATTAAACATTAACATTAAAAAAAATGACCAGATGTAAATCATTATTTCCTTCTTTTTCTTTTATCACTAAAATGGTTAGCCTATAAAATTTATTTAACGTTCCTCACCAATTTTATTTAGTTATTTTTATTTTATTGTTTTTTGTCTTCAGAACTATGCATATACTTTGTCTTATTATTTGTGTTTTTAATTATTATTTATTGTAATAGGCTATTGGCTAGATTTATTGATAATTTGTATGAAAAATATCATTTTTCTTAAGGGACTTTATATATATATATATATAATGGTAATAAATATTTTATAATAACATTTTATTGATGGAAGTTTGTCGATTGTTCTATATATCACCAAAACTTTATTAATTTTTTTATTTGTTTTTATTGCTTAAGTTTCAACCTAAACTTATACATCATCATAGAACTTGTACAAAAGGCAATCAATTAGAATATTTTTATTAAAATATATTTTTAAAACAATGGATTTTTTTTTTTTTTAAAGCAACAATGCAGAGCAGATATAACGTGGAGAAGTTCCTAAACTCATGAACATAGAGATGAGTTCATAGATAGCCATCAGATCAAAACAAACAAAGTTACCGATGGGTCCAGCGATGGGTTTAGGAACTTGCCACTGGACACTGCAGGTCTCTGCATGCACCCAGTGACGTCACCGAGGAGATTCTTCAAAACCTTTCTTTGTTGACGAATAGCGGATACAGGAGCGTGCCAAATATTCAAAACATTTCGTAGATATTGTATTAAACTTCTAAGGAATGTCATTATATAAATTATCAGCTATCGATTATTGTTCGGGCATCAACGTTATCTATTCGTAATCGATTTTTTCACGCAGATTTCTTAATGATTACTTTCAGACAACGGATGAGATATTAAAATTATTTAAGCACGAATAAAATTAATAAATGAAAAATCGGTTTAAATTTAATTTTAAAAATCGAGATAAAATATATTTAAAACTATATATATAATTGAATGACTTCATTCAGTTCATGACAGTTATCGTAATGTCATGTCAATATTTAAAAATTAAAATTGATTTGATTATTTTTCAGAATAATTGATTTTGAGCCACATTATGAATATATATTACTAAATAATATTTTAAAATTAACTATTTTGAGGGTTTAGAGTTATATCTATGTTAATAGACATTTTAATATGAAGATTCTAACAATTTTTTTTATAATTTTAATTATTTACTACTTCTATTTTAAGTAATAATTTTTAAAGATGAATTTATTCTTAATTTCTTTAAATTTATTATATATATATATATATATATATATATATATATATATATAAAACTATTTAATTTACTAATTTTATTTGCCTAAACTTTTGAGCACGGATTAAAACTTTTTAAAAAAAAATTTAATAGTTTCTGTGAAACTTTTAAGGAAAAAATCCTTTTTAAAATGTAAATTTTAAAGAATTTTTTTGTAATAAACTCTTTAAAAAGTTTTTTGATCAAGTGAGAAATATACAATAATCGGACATTAATTTAAATGATTAATAGATCTTTGACGAAATGAATTATTTTAAAATATATTTTCTTGATAATTTGAAATGGAACAAGTTTCAGGTACCGAAATAACAGGATAAAAAATATCAATGTCGTACTAAAATTGATTAAAAATAAGTGAAAGTAATAAAACTTAAAATTTCATTTAAATTTCTAGATTTGAATAAATAAAGACGATTCAACAATATACATAGAATTTCGTCAGTTAATAATGAACATTCATATTCCTATCTTAGCCAATATGACAAATAGCATAATTTGAATTGACATTTAATAATTTTAAATCACTAAGAATTTGGATGAATTTTCTTTTTGTAAAATCAGAAATTTGGTGCTTTTTGAAACTATACTTATTAAAAAAAAAAAAGAATTTGAGTCATTTTAGTGCATTCAATGTTTTTTTTTTTATCGATAAAATAGATATAATTTCATAGAAACGTTCTAAAAATTATATTTCGATCAAAAAAGTAATTTTTGTAATGTGACTTTTTGCAATTTACTGACGAAATAATGTACTCTTGACTGTTCTTGATGAACTGTCAGTCATAATATATAAATTAAACATCTTTCATATTTTGTGTTATTCTGTTTAAAGGCCTTCAAAGCACTATAAGATATGATACAAATTGTAGTTTTACTGTTTTTTTTTCTAGATATATCTCTCTGAAGATGATAGAGATTTCTGCAAGTATTTTGGCTTATCTTGCTATCGTCTTAATGACATGTAACTCTTACAATTGAAATACACGGGCAGATCTACGGGGGAGGGCTTTCGGGCTGAAGCACCCCCAAAATGGTAAAATCTGTAACCATTTTTTACAGAAAAAAAATATTAAAAACTATATCTTAAAGTATTCTTGTTCTTTTAATTACATTTAATAGGACTTCAAGAACCATTATAGACCATTTAATTTCTTTTTTTTTTTTTTTTAAATTAATTATAGTTATATGTATATGAAAAAAAAATCTTTCGGGCTGAAGCCCCTCCCAAAATTAAATCCTAGATCCTCTAGTGTTGAAATATTATGTACTTTACTGTTCTTTGTTTCATATATCCTCTGAAGACTACAGACCTTTCTGCTAGTATTTTAGCATGTCTTGTCCTCTTTATAAGACTCTTTTATCATTTCAACCCATTCTAGCCCAAGGGTTTAGTTTTGTAGTTGTTTTATATATCTTTACTACACTAGGTATACATATATAACTCCTTCAACGTACCTTGCAAATGGTTCATCCTCTACATGGAAGTACTTCTGGATGGGCTCCGAAGACACCATCCTCCCCAGTAGATCCTGGCTGAGGTGAAGGAAGCCCCCAACGACGGGGCTGACACCACTAGAGACTCCCCGCATTGCGAACGCACAAACTCTCTCTCACATGCCACGCACAGTACTTCTCCCTAACCCTCTTAGGCAGGCACTGCCGGTCCTCGCATCCCCTCCAGAGTTCTCTCCCGCGGGATCGTCCCCCCTCCAGGAGGGAAATTCTCCCTTTGAAGCGGGGATATTTTCCCGCTCAGACGACCAGTGACCGTCCTTGAGTTAGGACCTCTCACTGTTTGTTTACCGCCGTTGCAACGCGGCATCTTCGACTTTCGCAACATCAGCGAATCTGAATTTTTGGTTTATTATTTTCAATAATCAACCATTGTGATCGACCAAAAAATTAAAAAACTTAACCCCCTCTCAAAATTTGAGGTTTCAGGACGCGTAGAATTCGAAAAACCAATAAATTTTTTTTTATCCGTCCGCGCATTTTCTCCGAAACTACTGGACCGATTTTTTTTTCAAATTTTGATATAAAATCAGATGTCACCCGAGGATGATCCTCCTTCATCGACATTACTATCCGCTTTTTACTTTCAAAATGGCGGCTGAAAAACCTGCGTTGCTATAGACTGTAGCTCCTAAACTAATGTACAGATTTCAATGAAACTTCGCTAAAGTCTTTTTCTCGACGCCCTTTAAATTTATCTATATAATATACTTCAACGAAAAGAAGCTGGAAAAAAAGTTACGAGGGTTGGTAAAATTTAATTCCGAATAACTCAAAAAGTATACGCTTTTCTTGTAAATATTGTATGTTTTTTTTTTTAAATTTTACGAAATTTCCTTTTTACAAAAATCGGACAATTAGTAGCAAAGTTATGGTCTCTAGTTTTTTTTTTTTTTTTTTTTTTTTGTAAGTTCTACTGCAAAGGTCCTTTGTTTTGATTTTTGAATTTTGAATGTGTTATTCTAAAAAAACTAGCATTACTTCAGATGCTATTTTTTTAAAGCATATTACTAATGATTACAAAAAAAAGTTTAGTCCAATAATTGGAATCACCTTTTATTTATTTTTCTTTGTAAATCGGGAGGTAATGTTACTTTAGATGTATAATTGTTTGTAAATAATAAACCATTGTGAAATAGTTTGCAGCCTTTTTACTTTTAAAAGATTGAGATAACATAAAATATTGAGTATAAAATTTTCTCGACGCCCTTTACATTTATCTATATAATATACTTCAACGAAAAGAAGCTGGAAAAAAAGTTACGAGGGATGGTAAAATTAAATTCCGAATAGCTCGAAAAGTTTATACTTTTTTGTTGATATTGTATATACTTTTTTAAAAGTTTACGAAATTTCCTTAAAAAAAAAACAACGTTAAAATCGGACAATTAGGAGCAAAGATAATGTCTCCGCTTTTTTTATATGTTCTACTCCAAATGTTATATCTTTGGTTTGGTTTTTAAATTTTAAATGTGTTACTGAACTAATGCTATTTTTTTTTTTAGCATATTACTAATGATTAAAGAAAAGAAGTTTAGTCCAATAATTGGAATCACCTTTTGTTTGTTTTTTCTTTGTAACTCGGAAGGTAATGTTACTTTAGATGTATAATTGTTTGGAAATAATAAACCATTGTGAAATAATTTGCGTTTTTTTTTTGGTGGGATAATACACCTTAAAAAAGTTTTTAAAAAATCATTACAATTTAATTAAAGCGCCCAATGTTTTTAAAATTTAAAAAAATATAAAAGAAAACAATATACCGCCAGTTTGTTGAAAAATCTGGTGCGCGTAACACACAACTTTCTCTTACCGCCCTACTTGGAATAGAAATTATTTTCTGCCAATGTTGGACTATTATAAAATGTTTAAAGTGCATTTTAAACGGAGCTAAAGCTTATTAAAGTTTACAGATAACAAAACATTTTGACCATTTAAATTAAAAAAAAAACAAAAAAAAACTGCCAACTATTTACAAAAGACTCATATATATTTTGGACTTACGTGGTCTAGCTTTGGTGCTCTACGAAACCATCAAATTCCTCTCGTATCCAATCCTTACAATCCAAAATCCTTCGTAAAATTCTTAATGCTCCCTACTTTGTCACAAATAAAATCATCCATAATGACCTTAATGTGCCATATGTTTCCGATTTAGCTCAATCCAGATACCTGTCCTTTCATAATAAACTTCTGAACCATCCAAATCCTCTCGTTTCCACCCTTGCTTCCTCTTCTATTCCTGATAACACTCTGAAAGATGGTCCCGAGGCCTCTGAAAGATGGCCTCGGGACCTTCTAATATAAAAATATTATGGGAGTGCTACCAATGGGTAGTTTCTCTTCATGTTGTTCATGTCATATTACTTGTTCATATTTACTTGTTGTATTTATTATTAATTACAGTTGTAAATTTTGTTAATAAAAAAAAAAAATTACAAAAAGTCTATTTAATCGACGGTAGGAAATAAAAATGTGGTCACTCCATCTACTTTTATAAGCCACCCAATCTCAGTCTCTGAGCCTTTCAGTTGACAGAATGAATAACTCCAATTTCAACATATTTTAGTGATATTTCTAGTTGAAAAAGTTATCTATACAGACATTAGGTGATTGCAGAGTTGAAATACGATTTTATTGATCACTAGAAACTATAAAAATTTTAATCGAGCAGGGGGTTCCAAAAATATTAGTAAACCTTGTCAGGATGTGATTGACAAAAACGGTCAATAAAATTAGAATCGGAAATTATTTATCCGAAAAGTTTGAGGTTCGTTAGGGTTTAAATATCGAGGATATTTGGAATATTTTTTATTTATACTCAATATTTCATGTTACCTCAATCTTTAAAAAGTAAAAACACTGCAAACTATTTCACAATGGTTTATTATCTCCAAACAATTATACATCTAAAGTAACATTCCCTTCCGAGTTACAAAGAAAAATAAATAAAAGGTGATTCCATTTATTGAACTAAACTTTTTTTTTGTAATCATTAGTAATATGCTAAAAAAAACTAGCGTCTGAAGTAATACTAGTTTTTTTAAAAAACACATTCAAAATTCAAAAATCAAAACAAAGGACCTTTGCAGTAGAACATACAAAAAAAAAAAAAAAAAGAGACCATATCTTTGCAACTCATTGTCCGATTTTAACGATTTTTTTAAAAGGGAATTTCGTAGAATTTTAAAAGCCATACAATATTTACAAAAAGTGTAAACTTTTTGAGTTATTCGGAATCTAATTTTACCATCCCTCGTAACTATTTTTCCAGCTTCTTTTCGTTGAAGTATATTATATAGATAAATTTAAAGAGTGTCGAGAATAATAATTCGCCTTAAGCGAATCGGTACATCCCCCTACAGTCTATAGCAACGCAGATTTTTCGGTTAAAATGTTTCGGAGAAAATGTGCGTACGGCGGACGGACAAAAAACTTTTTATTCGTTTTTCGAATTTCACGTATTCTGAAACGCTAAACCTGAAATTTTGAGAGGGGGTTAAGTTTTTGAATTTTTTGATTGATCACAATGGTTCATTATTGAAAATAATAAACGAAAATTAATTCACGTGACACTCACAAAGAAATTTTGACCATGTAAAGGAGACTTCCATCTTTCCAATTATCCGGAATGTTGCCATTTACAGTCTCTAGGCCTGCTCATTTAATCGATATGGAATCCGACCAATTGCCACTGTCCATCAGAAAATCGATTGTGATAGCAGACCCATTCTCCTGCCCACGCTGTCTCCGCAATACATCAATACATCACGCATTTTAATTACATTCGATTATTAATTTATATTATTTAAATCATATCCAAGTAATCATGTATCATACAGTAAATTATATACAGTAATTTACACACAACTATAATTGTATATATTGTAAATGTTATCAATAATGATTATAGAACAAAGAAAAAGTAATATTTTATATTATTAATCTCGCTTTTTTAAATGTTTTCACTTCTATTGTGTGGTCTAAAGCACACACTGCGGATTTTTTACCTTTACTTATTTATATATGTAATATATAGCAAGGGTAAGTATTGCGATCGTGAAAATTTTTGATTCTGAGTTTTCAACGGAAATACACGTTTTGGGGTACCCTGAGTCCAAACAACCAAGTCCCGAAAAATAATCTGTGTGTCTGTGTGTTTGTATGTTAGCAGTCTAGCTCAAAAACGAAAAGTTGTACGAAACTGAAATTATAAATTAACTGGTCTTTAATATCAATCAGGTGTTGTTACCATTGATGTCCCTTTACAGGGCTTAAATGCCCAATGTTCATACGCGTCTTCCTCTAAAGTACCTATAATATTGTTTATTTTAAATAATTAATCATCTCACATTATTAAAACTTACGAAAAAATGCTAAATACAACTTTTTAAAATATTTGATAATTTAATAAAGGAGAAAAAATAAAAATGTTCGAAAATGAATCTCAGGAAATACTTATCAGAAGGTAGACATATAATATATCGTTGGAAAGCGGAGAATCTTAGGAAAAACAATATCTAATATAAAAAGTTGTAAAAGGTAACGGAGAGCTGCGAGTATAAATAATATTTTTTTAAAATATTATTTGATGTAAATTACATGTTTTCAAGGAAATTAAATGAAATTTTCTTACTATATGTTAACTTTTAAATGTTTTTCTAAGATTGAAAAAAGTATATAAAATTCACTGAATCTAGCCAATGCCATTGTTTAAAAAACTATTTCATTGTACTTGTGTGAAAGAAGAAGTAAAATATGAAATCATGTCATCGATGGATAAAACAAATGTTTATATCCTTTAATACATTTTATATAGCTTAATAATTCTAGATCTGATATTATATTTGAGTAATTGGGCATCAACGTCCGTTCATTCCGAAAAATCATCATGTAACCTTTTAGAAAATTAAATTATTGAAAAGTTTAATGAAATTTCCTTTTGTGATATCCACACACTTGACAGTATCCACACAACTTTTGACCTGTCTATGACAGACACTGCAAATCTCTTAATTCCGTTTTAATAAATTTTGCAATGGAAAATAACTGTTTAATAACTAATAGTCGTACAATC